AGCTCTGTTTGGAACTGAACTCCTGGTATTAGAAATATCTGATGTATGCTTCACGTTGCATGCACAATGGAAGCACTGAAAACTTCAGTCTGCCGGACGTTGGTAAAATCGCAAGTGTAATAGAAAAAAAATATAAATATTATGAATTATTGACATCAGAACTTGAAGGATGTTGCTTTATTTTAAAAATTGTATTATATAAAGTAAGTTAGCTTCTATTGATAAAATTATCCAGTCATATATTTAAAATATTTTAAACGTTAACACTAAATTGATTATTTTCACAATGATTGGTATCATTAGTTTTCATGATTTTCTATTTAAATTAGTAAACATTAAGCAGATTTTTATTACCTCTGCACATTTTTTATTGTGTAACGAATGTCTTTCTTTTGAGCAATTTACACAATTTCGTTTTGTACTTACAGAAGTTAATTAGGTATTGTTTTTTTTTGTTACTAATTCCAAGGAATAAAATAGTTCTTCTTGTTACTGTCCTCCTAATACCAAAAAACATGTGGGGTCCATTTATTGACGTGGCGGACTTGTTGCAATTTATTCATGCATAAAGGACCCAGGTGGGTAGATTTATTGTATTGAAACGAATTAATTTATTTTTGACCCAGGAAACTACCCAATTTCTACAGCAAGCCGATTTATCTGCGTTTCCCGGATGAAAATTACCCTGTATAGATATATATACTTACATAATGCATATATGCATAGACTATAAACGACTTAAGTGCCAATTGTTAATAAAGTTTATTCAGTACTTTTATATAAACATTCATCCATCCATCCATCCATGCTTCAAAAGTTTCACATTTATAAATGTTAGTAAGATAATGTATCAAGTAGTAGTGTCATGTGACCTTAACACCGCGTGACCGCCAGCGATCGGTGTCCCGCGTGCTTTATACTCCTTCTCCCATAAAAACAAATAAAAACTAATGTAATTGATTGAATTTCGCCTTATTCACCGAAAATATACTTTTCTATACGCGAGGAAGAATTTTGAAAATCGGTGCGTTTTGTGAGGTTTTGTTAAGCAAGAATGGATTAGATATTTATTTTTGCTTCCTAAAAAATTTCGCAAGAAAACTTAATAAGTATCTATGCAATAACACAATCTCACGCCTGTTATTCCTATGAGGAATAAGCAGTTATATATTATGTTGAAACTTGGGATCCACTTGGAAACGGTCACAAATAACTAGGTAAAGCAAATCCAAGTAGCTCTCCCTGTTACTGGATGCCTAGTATCAGAATACGGGCGGGTCTATTCGTATTAGTAAATTGAACACGTTGCGTTCAAATGGACCTCTTACGAAAACGAAGCAAGCACAATGATTTTTAATCTTCAAAAAGTTCGGATATAAGATGAGCAATACTATTACCGAATGAAACACTTTAATAAAGTCAGTAATTAAACTAGAAACTTTTTTATACATCAACGAACAGAAACAACGATCAGAATAATTATAATGAATGTCTGTTATATGATATTACGTTAAATATGTGATGATAAGTGACCATCGGTGTATCGTGTATCGACAAACGTATATTATTTTGCATCACATCAAGCCGGTTGTATTGATCGCGCGGTCCCCTCGTCTCAATAAATAAAAGATGACTGACCAGATTAAAATGGCCGGTGACTGAACAAAGAGCTAACTTTGATTGCATAATGTCGGAATGTCTAGATAAGCTGGATGTAGCCTTCAATACTCGTCGAAGGGTGCAACAACAGAGAGTGACAGCAATACAGAGAGTACATTAGACAACAACGACGATATTGGGAGGAAATGAAGTAGCACAATGTGCTGACATAATGTATTGTGTCGCAAGAGTGTCTGCGTATGAGGTATAAAATATATTCATATTATATTATATAAAGAATTAGATATATCGGACTTAGGTTTATCGTAACAAATCGGAGCCACATCTTTTAATGATACCTGCCTTTGAAGAATAATTAAGTATTGTAAGCACGTTATGTCATTAGATAATGTTGCTTGGTATACGTGTACCAATAGTTATTGAGTTAAGGTATATAGTATCTTAGAATAATTGGTGTAATTATTCTACGATTATTATAATCAGCCATGTAGCGAAAATACTAAAAAAGTGTTGTCGTACCAAAACTCAGTTTCGGTCTCTGTTTGAGGACACAATTGTTATGGAGGACCCGGTGTCCTGCAAACTTAAGCGTTATTCATACACAGAGTGCATGAGTGACATTTTTGTATTTAAGCATCTAAAAGATAAGCTTCGGCTCCGTGAGGTTAATAGCAAAGAAAATTCAGGAAAAATATCAACAGAAAAGCGGGACTTTTATTTTTCACTTGCAGCGCCAACTTTTTGAAATATATCTGGTGGTGAAACGGAGTTTGCCGGGTTTGTTAGTATGTCATTAAATATCACATAGTTAACGAAGGTCGAGAGTTGAAATAAAAATGTAATAATGTCACATAGGACCTACGGTTACACATTATTACAAGCGTTCAGCTTGCTGGCTGTAGCGAACCTGTACAACAACGGACGCTCAGCTCCGCGTTTTACTTGTGTTCCCGTAGAAATAATGCATCGGTTACTTATGCAGGTAGATCATTGAGTATCCTGACTGTGAAATGTGAAAAAATTTTGAAAATCGGTGAAATTTTGGGGTAGTTGGGTGTTTGCCAAAGTTATGCTAGCATTTATTATCTAATAAAGTAATAAATCCACACGAATATAACAAAAATGTGTCTCGAGGTCAGTGCTATAGCGTGCTACTACTTCTACTATATGTTCGTAACATCACGCCACACATTTCCGATAAAGGACAGCACAGGCGTCAAACGTGGAGTGCTGTGACTATTATGTAGAAATAACAATGCCAAAGTTGATGATTAATACTCGTAATTGGAGTGTCTCAGCTTGAGGCCCGCTCAAGTGGCAAGCTATCTGTCGTGATGCTGCCTGCGTGGACCTTACTTTACTGTATATAGTAAACAAATAACTTATAAAGAAACAATATATACTACTCTACAAACAAAGTAGCTCTATTTGAAACTGCGCTCCTGGTATCAGAATATCCGTATCGTTCGAACTGTCGACAACTTCACGTTGGACCTCGTAGGCTCTCACTTGCAATTTCATTCAACGTGACTCAGCATCAACCATTGTACGGTTCACAGGTCAAATGAATTTGATATTTTTTATCGTGTTATGATTTAATTCATTAAATGACCTAACTGCGAATGATAATTTATTCCTACAAACCCAGAGGTACTCTTATGTTGGTTATATTGTAAATAATAACAAAACGAATACTGTAATAACAAAACTAATTCTACCATAGTGTAAGCACTTCAAATTATATTTTAGGATCTAAACGTTTTTTTATGGAAATAGTCGGTGAACGAGCAGTCGGATTTCCTGACGGTAAGCGATCCGCGCCGCCCATGGACACCCGCAACACCAAAGGAGTTACAAGTGCGTTGCCGGCCTTTTGGGGGTAAGGGTTGCGGTATAAGTTTTCAGAAGGGATAACGGAGGGGGAGGGATTGGCACTCCGGTAAAATCACTTACACGGCGAAAGACAACGCTGTGATAACGTTTCGTAAATAAAACATCCAATAATTCTGAGCTCTGCCTGTAGCACACAACGCCGCGCGGAATCCAACGCATGCGTTTTAATGCTGTTCCCATACATGAATAAGATTAGCTTAAAAACAAATCTATACTCCCGAATAATTTAGCTCTCCGTTCTTACAAGAATCGAGAAAATCGCTTGATTTTTACTCACTTTAAGTATATAAACATTATTAAACTATATTTGGTCTTACGAAAAAAAAAAAAAATGTAAAGGCAAAATAATTATTCACGACTATAGTAGTAGTACATAATGGTACAGTTAGAGTTTGAGGACAGTTTGACAAAAACTGTCAGTATTTTGACATTGATGATGTTTCATAAAAATTAAAGCACAACTAAGCAATCGTAACACGCGCTACTGAAATGTATATTTCCCTGACAAGCACAACAAGCACATATCCTGTTTTAGCGTAGCACGATTACGTAGCTCGGCTGAGAGGCTACGCCGTGCCGTAGCTACATGTCTACATGTCTGCTACAGCATTACCTTCTATTTTCAATATTATAAAAGTTGTTGTTTCTGAATATTTAAATAATACAAGGCCGTACCAATAAATTGTTAAATAAATGATACATTCCTTGTTACGCTGTTTAAGCGACTTTCTTGAACGGAATATTTGAATTACGCTTAGATAACGCAACTGCCGCGCAGCCTCCCTTTTTTCCGGAGATGTATCCGAATAAGATAAACAAATATTTGTTTAGAAACCACAATTACATCCAATCAGCTAACTAATAACCAGAGTGCACTATTTAACACTATCATTGGGTAACACAAACAAATATTGAAGAAATTAGTTTTAGGCAAGAGAGTAACAGGGTAACGAACAAAGCGCCGTCCGTACCCTAAGTGTACGAGGATAGCATGGATGCTAGGGATCATTTAGTGCGATCCCGCGGCCTCGACCTTCTCTGGAGGGTAAACGACAAAGCGCCAGCGTGCACTATATACACCAGGGTAACATAAATACAAAAGAGTTCCTTTTGTTTCCTATTTTTCTGCTGGGTTTTGTTATAAACCGTATAATGTGTTGTCTAATCGGATGGCAAAGTGTACTTAAGGGTTGTAAATTAGTAAGCTGTGAACAAATTTTTTCTAGCTTCAATACTAAATTGAATAATATCGTAATTCGTAACATCGTACGCTTAGATTCGATATTGGAAATGGTCGGACCGGCGCATCACTAGTCCGTCCCACGGTCCCACCCCCGAACGGTGCGTATCCCCCGCATGCGGCAGACGCGGTAGTTGGCCAAAGCTCGTTGTGGAGGGTTGTTTGCTCTCTGAATTTATCTTTAAAATCAGCGGTTATTGTGTTTGTATATATATTGTGCTTTATTAATAAAGGCTAATTAATAACAATGAGTTCGAAACCGAAAAGAGCTAGACGATTTTGGAAGAGAAAACATTATCGGAAGAGGAAGAACGGGCCCGAAGAGAACTCAAGCAATCGCGAGCATAGCCTGGAGAAGTCTAAGCGTGAAATCCACTTGGAAATTTCGTGCATCGAGGTGTCTAGTAGGCTGTACTGGGACTACAAAGCTAGATTTCTACTGTCCGGTATTCCGGCGTGTTTAACAGAGACTCTGTGTAAACACCAATTGAACGGAGCTGATCGGACCGTCAAACAAATACCAGAGAGAGTCGAAAGCTCTTTCAAAGTCGAGTATAATACAAATGCGTGGTACGAGGCATTAGAAATGGTCCAAATGTCCATAACCCCACACCAATACATATCCCCAGACGTGTTGCAAGCGATTGTTGAAATTATGTTAAACACCCAAGAAAATGTGTGTGAAGATTATTCGGGCATTCATATAGTAAGCATATGCCAACAAGTGCTGGCGAAAAATTTCAGTTATCACCCTCCATGTCAGGATAAAAACCTAAGAGAGTGTTACATTAAATTTCTCACATCACCAATGAGCCTGAGAGACCAGGAGTACACAAATAAAATACAATACGAATACCAGAAAGGCGTCGTGAAATACTGCCTGAACCGGCTGGAACACGAGATGAGCATGCATAGTGTAGATGGGCCCTTAATGAATAAGGACCAGAAACCACCGAAAAATGCGAAGAATCCCGCGGCGGGCGCACAATGGCAAGCTAAATGTGACAACTTCGAATTTTTAAATCGGCCAGAAAGGATAAAGAGATTGATAGCTGTCCTTGAAAGTATCATTGAATTATTGCAAACCGATTTGGCCATTTGCCATTCAAAGTATACTTACAATTTAGGAACACACATTTTAAAATCTGAGAAACCTCTAATGACGTTCATCCTGTGGCCGGGAAACATTCGCTACTGTGGAACTGTCAATAAAAATTGCACACAAATAATGAGAATATTTGTGTACTTGTGCCATTTGGAGTACCCGTCTTACATGTTGGACGTCGTCGCGAACTGGCTGAACACCATGGTCCAAACGTTCTATTTGTGTGAAAGCAACGCAACAAGTGACTACCCACACATCGATAAGTTTTGTAACCACCTGGCTAGCGAGTTCTACAAGATTATCACCAAAGTATCCGTCGAATCTATCGACAGAGTATTGGTCAGGATTCAGCCTCCGTTTATGAAATACCACATCGGCATGATACATATTAAGAGTAACTTTCCAGTACGAGATGATTGCATTTTGAAAATATTGATCAGATTTGTGAAGCAACAACAATGGCTCCGATATCATGACACCAATGAACCTTTTCAACTGATGCCTGGAAACCACGTTCTCAAGCATCTGTTCGTCAGGCTCATAAACAAAAACTTGGATTGGATTTATGGAGACGCTGAGGAGGAACTGACAACTTATTCAAAATTAGGTGAGAAGACCTTGCAAGTTGTGCAGGGAGGCTCAGGGGGCCGGAGCAGCATCAGTCTTCAACACGCTGTCCATGTACTGTACCTGACTCTGGAGGCATTTTTAGAATCCTACAATTTGTACGGCGTGCAAAAGCTTTGGTGTATATGGAATTCATCAATATTAGACGGCAAGGAACTTCTCCGGCGTTTAAAAGAAAAAACCAACTACTCTCTAACCGAGGATTTCATAAAAAAATATGATGACAATCTGAGCGCGCTGCAGGAACTACAAAATGTATACTATGGCAGCGTGGGCAAAGAGAATGTGCCGGAGATAATGCGAGTATTTGCCAAATTGCTTCCTCTATACGAACTAGAGGACACTTAAACCATTCCAGCAGAGGTGACGTGTCGAGTGCTTGTTCATGTATTGTGACAAATTAAGGGAAATCTGTATGTGCGGGACTTGTTATCAAAAATTATAAATGTGACAACTAATAACATAATTTAAAAAAACAACATGTGTCTAACGGACAATTTTACTTTTTGTTTTGTGAACAAGTGGTGTATGTTACAACTTCTTCTTTCTAATAAATAATGTTACATTGATGTGATTCCATAACAAAATACATATTTTTGTCGCAATGTGCTGTGCGTTAGTTTTGCGATCGTAATATGAACAAGAGTATAAACGGAGAAATGAGAATCAAATAATGGCATTAAGTTATTGACACTTGAATAAAATAAAAATGCTCTCACCTCACCTGCATTGTGCTGATGGCCTAAGTCAATGACCGATCTTGTCTCAAAATGTCTGCAGCGAACCAGGATTTTATCAACATTTCGATAGGACTTGAAAAGTAAAGTTTTAAAGTGTAGTTAGTTTGTAGGTATATCAGTAGTGTTTTATACAATTTGTAGATGAACTATAAGTTTATCCAGTAAGTGAGTACCGACCTATAAGTATGTACTCCTAGTATATATGTAACGTTTTACTACACAACACAACATGCGTGAGGCAGGTTGCGTGTCCCCTGACAGCTTGCCATTATACTAATTACTATAAGTATAGTTTCGTAACTTTTTCTATTGTAACCATTAAGTTTCACAACAAATGTGCAACATATGTATTGCAGATATGTTTACTTTAGAAGTATTTAAGTTAACATTTTAAATGAAAACGAATGTGTCAAATATTTTTGAGATTGATGTAATTATAATAATTATATAATTCCCATATAGTCAACCCGGGAACATGGTCTTGTGGGAATGTGTAGAAACTATTCTATTTGTTAGGATGAGTATAACTTACTTAACTTGGTACTTAATTTATTTATTACAAATATTTATAATTAAACTAATACTTGGTGTCCACACGACGTGCACAATGCGCGAATGTATTCTATAACATTTTCATAGTATGGGTGTGTTGGGTGGATTGTGAAGCAACGACTACGTTTTTGAAATGTTTTTACATCGTACTTCCACATGTTTACATTTAATTATGTAACGAAACCGATGTTGTGGTGGTGCGATTGTTTATTTAGTGGCGTATGAAGACAATACTACCTACATTATGAATTTGGGTTGTTCTCAATTTTTGTTTGCTTGACGTTCAAAAGTGCCTACTGTGGTCTAATTGAAATAAATGATTTTTGACTTTTTTTTTGTTAGGCTGGTAAAAAATCGTGTGAATCTATAAGCGCGAGATAATTAGTTCTACCTACTTATATAGTTTTTTATTGAAACAAGATAACTTTACTAAATTTGAAGTTATAAAGGAAACTTGTCAATGACATTTCGTTTGCACACTATCGCCAACTAAGCGAACAGTCAGTCTGATGTAAACAATTTGTGATTAAGTTTAAAATGATTGTAATGCGGAGACTGCAACGTGTGCACTGTGTGCATTTATACCTATATCCAGTATTTAATTACTGTACTTTCTAGTATTACGAGGAATAAGGTTATGAATAATCTGTAATAGAATTTGTCGTAAAATAATAGTAATGTGATTAATATATTTCTTCAATGGATGTTAATATAAGTAGCATAGTAATATACCGATAGCTACAGCTTGCGTGCGACGACGTGCGTCATAGTTTTGTTGCTGTAGTTGTAACTATGTGTTTGTACTTTTCAAGTACTTATTTGTGTAACTAAATAATCGTGTGTTGATTGTATCAATAAAGTCATTGAACAATAAATAAACTATCCGTCAGTACACGCCTAGTTTTGTTTTAAATATATCTACTGTGTACCTCGCGTTATTATTTGATAGAATGTAGTTCTATCTAGATCACGATTAGAACAGTTTCTGTGGGTAAGTAAGGAGGTAAGTTATAATAGACATCTCATATTAATATTGTATCAGAAGTAATGGAACTACACTTTGTATAGTTCAGTTTGAGTAGAGACTACAGGACGCTTAGGAACTCAAACCTCTTGAACTTTAATTTGCTTTATAAGCAACGAGACTTTTCTTATTTCACACTTATGAAAAATAAATGTTTGATGTTATAAGCAAATCAGAATACTACAATACAAAATTCTTTGAATTTGAGTAATTGCTGACTCTCCGTACCTATTTAAGTTTGTGCAGTGGCCGGACCTGCTTGCTGCATTCTTATCCTGAATATAATCTGTTTGGCTGTTTGTAGTATGCTTGTATACACCATTCCCACTTAATGTTTCACATTTTTCTATTCGGTATTTTATTCGAGTATAAGATTTCACACGCCATGAAGAACTTCGGACAGCCTATTTTGTAGAATTAAATAAAAATGTGTCGACTTTTTTCCATGTTATCGTTTCAATTAGTTTTCTCATGCATTGAGGCAAGTCAAATTTTGATGATTGATCGCTTTTGTAGAATAGAATATCGCTCCAGAATATAGTGTGAAACCACGATGTGGTGACGATATGATGATGCGATCCGTTTGTATTTTGGAGTTAATACTATTTACCTTATTGCAAGCGATGCAATCGTTCCCCGATAACAGGAATAGAATACGGTTCACGTGTACTAGGCTTTCAGCTCCAAACAGAAGTAGATTACTACGCTGCTGTCTATAGAATATAATAAACATTAGTATCTACAATGTGAAGATGTGTACAGCTTTATCTTCTAAAGAACTAGTAGATTATTCTCGCAACCACCTGTGTATATTTTGTGTCTGTGATTCTAACGGGATCTGAAAGTTATTTTAATATAGCCGTATATGTACTAGCGTCACACTGCTGCACTCCCAGCCCCAAGCTGGCGGCTCGCACTCTGCTAGCGCTGCTCCGGCTGCTGCTGGCTGCTGGCCTCGTCCTAGCTCTGCTCATTTATACATACAAGCTAAATATTGTCATGTTGAGTACTCATTTATAATGAGAGAGAGACTTTTTAAAATCAATAAAAACACGACATCTTTTATACATATATTATGACACATATGGATATAAAAGTTTTAATCGTCTTGCACTGCCTTTAGCGTGTGTAATAAAATAGCTGTGTCGGTTACTGCACTCCTAGTATCTGATAACTCCGCGCCACGGTTGAGCAGCTTGTTGCATGCCACGCAGAAGTCCAGCGGCATGTTCAACATGACATGCGACATATTTTGTGGTTTTGGCATTCAACTAGTATAAATGCATACTTAGTAATAAACGGGCACTTAGGTACCCAGGGGCAGTTGGGCAGCTCTTCCTAGGGCAAAAATTAATCCGACGTTTCAATACAATAAAATACTAATAATAACTATAGTTTTATTCATCAATCTAGCGATACACTAAATTATCGATACTTTTTATATCTCTCTTCATACCTAGCTTCTATAGCAAAAATACTAGATGGAAATTACTGTATTTCCCTTCGTCTAGAATAGGTAGTTGGATAGCTATACATTTTCATGATTATTAACATTTTAATTAAATATCTCGTCATTTAAAACATCAAACTCTACTCCTATTTAAATAAAATAAAGAGATGTAATTATTTATGATTTAGTATTGTTCATTCGGTTACAATGCTACTCGTTTTGAGTTTGTTCAACCGAAACAGGAACGGCTTTCGTAGACTATGTAGGAACTATGCAATTCCAAACGGTAGCTCATTGCTTATCCTACATCTTATTGACATATTGGAGATATTGTAGACCAGTATCAATTAGTTGTAAGGTAGGTATTATTTGTTCACTTTATAAATTACTAGCTATTCCCGCGCGGTTTCACTCGCTACTCGACTCCATTTGATTGTAGCGTGATATTTTATAGCCTATAGCACTCGGGAACATTGTAGCTATCTATCAGTGAATTTTGGCAATCCGACCAGCGGTTCCAAAGATTACCCCCTTCATACAAACTTACAAATTTTACCTCTTTATAATATTAGTATAGATCACCTGCATAAACTGTTCGGATTTCAGAATTCACAATTTGATTAAAGCTTCAGACTTATGTGGATACATCAGCCAGAAGTATAATTGTGAAAAGTAAGAAAATGATTCAGTTATAATAATGGTAAAAGATCTAATTAAATTAGATTGTCTAAGTAACAACAGTAAGTACATGTAGAAGGTGTTGAATCTTTTGACGATTTTAAATTATTAAATTGTTAGTCTCTAACGCCAGCTTTCGTTACAAACAGTTAGTCAAAATATGACTAACTTAAATAAACATTTAAATATTTATATATATTTTTAGTTGTATGCTGTTGAATTGCTTCGGTGAGCTGTTGCTGCCTCTAAAGTGCAACAACATAATTTGTCCTTATAAATACAAATGCCCAAATTATCAATTTTATCCTACGTATATTGGAAAAGAAGAGCTAAAGTAATGTGCAGTTTTTATAAAATTCTCTAAACACGAATAATGTTTTTTTTTAATAAACATTTTGATAACCTGTCATTTTACTATGTACAAACAAAACTTTATTTTCTAAATCTGTATTCGCGTTGTAGGTACTTCAAATACGCAGCGAGTGAGGTTATCAGAAGCCTTTTCTACTTCCTATACGAAATGCTGAAAATCCCTAACACGCCTCATAAGGCACGCACTTGTAACGACTTCGGTGCTGGGGATTGCTCATCTACGTTTGTGTAGTTATCTCATTAAAAAATATTAATTGCTTTTATCATATAATAAAAGAAGTCAGTATTATCGGTGATACTTCAGTAGTACCTAATACAATGTGGGGAACTGATACTGTTCCTCGATAACAGTAACGGAACGCTCTTGAGGAATACTAGGCGCTCAGTTTCAGACAGAGCTAAATTGTAGCTTGAGTTTACTCTGGCGCGGTAGTGTGGCGGAGCCGCAGCGACATCTCTATAGAGCTGGAGACAACATTTATTCTAGCGGAATAACATGAAGATTGTCATTATCGGTCGCTTTTTTGTTGGT